CAGTTCAATATCGCAGAAATAATATTCAATCGATCGATCTACTCTTTAAATCTGTTAAGTATTCGCGTTCGACCTTTCTCCTCGCAGACACTTTCTCGTTGTCCAGCCCGTTCGATATTAGAACTGCATTCCATTGCACAGTGATATTACCAAAGCATTTCGAACTCGATTCGATCGTAATTTAATCTTTATCGAAGTAATTCTAGAGCCACCATTGTATTAGTTTCATCTGTCTTGAGTTTCTGCCGCGGCAATTACAATCGAGCCTGTTACCGCGTTAATTTCGCTATTTCTGTTCTTTCAACGCATCGTTTCATTTCTTATCAGCGCCTCGTTTCATCGCGTTTCCACTCCTATCGAATTTCTACGAATCCTCCTTCGTCCACAGTTTCTGCTCCGTGAGCTCAGTTCGTTTCAATGAATTCAGTGTTCCGAGATCTTTAAATCTGCCAGTGTTTAGTTTGTCTTAATTACATCCCGGATCTTCGTGCGAAATAAAAATTGCCTAACTCAATAGCAAGAGACGGAATAAAAACGTATTTTTACTTCTAACGATCCTAATGAATCGAAGAGAAGTTAGCGACGTTCATAAATTTTTCTAACTCTCTTTTCTCTCCCACCTTTTTCTAGTAATGATCGCGTGAAATCCGCGATCTAGATTTAATCTCCCGCGACTCGGTTGTTATACCGATTTATTACGTTTCTTAAGCTAATTTCATTTTCGACCACGAAAATATCTTGTTCTATTGTTTCGCCTTCATAATCACGATCTTCAACCCTTGCTTCATAGATCGTACGAAATTCAGTCTCCTCGGCTCTGTTCATTTGTCATTAATTTATACGCAACGCTTAATATTTCCCGGTCAGATAAACTTTTTTATCTTCGTGCGAAAAATGTGTGCCACGGAGGAGTGAAGTTTCCGTTGTTTGATTCTTGGCTTGGAAGAGGCTCGCGGCACGTCGAAAGCTCGAACGTGTGTCAGACGCCGATAGAAGGAGAGAAAGAGGATAAACACTTTGAGAGCGACGTTGCCTGGTAACCAGCAAACTTCTCCAAAGGAACCCGAGGCTCCGTGACAGCCTAAGCTTTCCTTGTAGAGACACAGGCTTCGCGCTTCTTGTCCTCCGAATTCTCGCCTGAAGCCGATCGAATCGATGCGACCGAGGCGGCGCGGGACCGTGCTAAAAATACCGCCTCGAAAAAAGAAAAAATAATACGAAACAAGGGGAAAAGTGGGTGAAAGTAGAATGGCAACCGGAGTAATACGCACGCGATTACTCCCTCTTTCTCTATTTATGCCGGCGGGACGGCCGGTCGGATGAATAATTGATCGCGTATCGATCATCGGCAGGCTGCGGATCTCTATGCATTTAGGACACGTGTAAATTCGCGGAATGCGTCGAACCATCTACATTAAATCCTCCCAAATTGTCCCTCAGCTTGGAAACAAGAAGATTGAAGAATTTGAGTAGAGAAGATATTGGAAATGGGTAGATAAATAAAAGTAAAACGCAGTGAATTAAACTTATCCCTTTTAGTTTATTAATTTGATGTACGAGGAAGGACCGTCTTTACTCTCCTGATTGCTCCAGGAGACTGAAGACTATTCACAAAGACGAAACCAAAAACGTCACCTAAAGACAAAGAGCACTCTGTTCTATATACTACTGTGATCAAAAAGTAAGGTGAATTTGTTTATAAAATGTAAATTCTTTATTTATTCTTCCAAATCAATTTCATCCCCTTCAAAGTAATCCCCGTCCGATAAAACGCACTGTTTCCGACGCTTTTACCGGTCCTCGAAACAGTCGGAATAGTCTTTTTCCGGTATAGCTTTCAAGACCTTCTTCGATTCGGTTTTTATCTCCTCAATCGTGTCAAAACGGCGTCCCCGCATTGGCTTTTTGAGTTTGCTGAATAACCAGAAGTCGCACGGAGCCAAATCAGGCGAATACGGTGGTTGCGGAACGATATGAGTCGAGTTTTTGGCAAAAAAGTCGCGAAGAACCAATGCAGTATGACATGGCACCAATCGAGACTTGACGCGTTTGAGACACAAAACATCCTTCAAAATGGTTTGGACTGAGCCAAATGATATTCCAACACTATCAGCGAGGTCTCTTATTGTCAATCGACGATTTTCAAGCACCAAATCTTCGATTTTTTGGACGTGGCCC